GCAAAGCTTTGTTAAGTATTTTCAGGGCCGCTGGGCGGTTCCTGAGAGCCTCCCGGAGCACCAAGGCACTCGGAAAGGGGCAGAACGGAGCAGCGAAAAGCCCCACGGAGCTGAAACTCTCTGGAGATGCGGGACACCACTGGAGAAGGCTCCCCTGCACCTCTGTGCAAGCCACGGGCTGCAGCGCCCTCGGGGTGCCGAAGCCCTGGATGCATTGAAGGGTTTTCAAGTAGACTGTGGAACGGGAGGGGCGCTGCCCCTTGACCGGTGTTTTTACAGAGGGGACCAAAAAACTGAGGAGCTGTAGAAGAGTTTGGGTCTAATCTAAGGCTGAAGAACCAGGCTTGGGGGCTACTGGAGTCCGGGATAAGACACTGGATCATTCTGGACAATCCGGAGCCCCAGAATGAGCCATCGGAATTGGCCAGAATGTGGACGTTACGCAGTCCAGACCAAAGCTTGTGGTAGGTGGACAGTGCTCTGAGACTGGGGACATGAGACAGAAGCAGAGCACACGAGGAAGCGGCCATGAGAGGTCATCGAGTCCAGTCCCCTGCCCTCACGGCAGGACCAAGCCCCAGCTACACCATCCCGGAGGGTATGTCTACACTACCCCACTAGTTCGAACTAGCGGGGTAATGTAGGCATACCGCACTTGCAAATGAAGCCCGGGTCCCATATGAGGAGAGGTTAAAGCGACTGGGACTTTTCAGTTTAGAAAAGAGGAGACCAAGGGGGGTTATGATAGAGGTCTATAAAATCATGAGTGGTGTGGAGAGGGCCGATAAAGAAAAGTTATTTATTAGTTCCCTAAATAGAAGAACTAGAGGACACCAAATGAAGTTAATGGGTAGCAGGTTTAAAACTAATAAAAGAAAGTTCTTCTTCACACAGCGTGTAGTCAACCTGTGGAACTCCTTGCCAGAAGAGGCTGTGAAGGCTAGGACTATAACAGAGTTTAAAGAGAAGCTAGATAATTTCATGGAGGTTAGGTCCATAAAAGGCTATTAGCCAGGGGATAAAATGGTGTCCTTGGCCTCTGTTTGTCAGAGGCTGGAGAGGGATGGCAGGAGACAAATCGCTTGATCATTGTCTTCGGTCCACCCTCTCTGGGGCACCTGGTGCTGGCCACTGTCGGCAGACAGGCTACTGGGCTAGATGGACCTTTGGTCTGACCCAGTACGGCCGTTCTTATGTTCCTATGTTCTTATGAGGCGTAGCGCCACCCGAGAGCAGGCCCAGCGGGCGTTGGTGGAAAAACAGGGACTATTTCCCCCCAGGACAAACTCTGCAAGAAGGCAACAGTTCCCATTGCAGCCAGGGGAACGGTCTGCAAGGGGAGGCCGAGGCCGGGCGGTTTCCCGCGCTGGGTGCCCACGCAGGTGCCCTTGGCAAGCAGGTGCCACTCTTTTGGCAGTGGAGCAAAGACACAAATGCCGCATAGAGGGAGGTCGGGGGGACCTGACGCCGTAGGCAGCTCTCGGGACAGCCAGGGCGCCTGGGGCGAAAGCCGAATAAATGACACCGTCAAGCTCAGGTCCCAGAAGGAATTCCGAGGCCTTTCCCAGCTGGCTTACCCCCAACCACAAGGGTGGGGATCCAAGTGTCCTTGTCCCGACGAAGGGTGGAGAGAAAATCAACCTCCCGCGGACTTGGGGCTGCAGCTCTTGGCCTCTGAGAAACTGACCAGAGGCCCCAGACTTGTGCCCCGCGGAGGGAACTGGCACAGGCCGCTTCCAGCCGCATGGTCCACACGGGAGGCCAGCAGCTTCTGCGTCCCAGCCACCAGCAATGCGCTGAGATTGAGACGGTGGCTTTGGCCTGCGTCCTGGGGCATAGGAAGTTTCATGGTGGTATTGATGGGAGGCCAGCACGGGCTGCCAGTGGCCCTAAGCCACTGCCTGCGCTTGCCAAGAGGGGCTGGCAAATGCCTCCCTCCCCCCCCCTGAGAACACAGATCTGTTGTGAGCTTTGCACATTGTACACAAGGCTGGGAGAGAGCTGGGATTACCGAGGCCTTTCTGGGATTGCCAGGCTGGCTGGGCTAGTCTACCCAACCCACGCTGGAGGCTTGGAGGCAGCCCGGTGGGGCTTAGAATATTTGTCTTAAAGAGGGGAGCCCGGAACAGCTGCTCTGTGGATTCCCTGAAGCTCCAAGGACTTGTCTTAGGAGCAGGGTGAGCTCGAGCCAGGAATGGTTTTGGAGGGGTGGGAGAAAGGGGAAAACCAGCAAGAGAGCAGCTGGCAGCTCCCCCCGCATACCTCAAAGTGCTGCCGTGAGCGAGGCGCGGCCGTAGCGGCCGGGGGCAATTATAAAGAGGTTGCCCATCGCTGGGGGTGGAGCAGAGAGGCTGCAGCTGGCTCTGGAAAAGGGGGCTCGCAGCAAGGGGCGAGGCTGGAGTTGTGTGGTCAGAGGGGTGCCAGGGACAGAGCCGGATGGGAGAGGAAAGTCAGCTGTGGGGATGGCAGGGCTCGCCGCAAACAGGACAGTAAGAGGAAAGGCAGAATTAGAAGGCAAGCAAAGGGAAGATGAGCGTAGTTAAACAAAAGCCAAACAAAGGGCGAGTCTGTAGCTCTGTAGTAGATACATGTGAGCAGAGCTCGTCTGGCATTGCAGGCTGTGCACTTCATGTTAGGAGACTCGTGTTCATTGCTGTGCCCTGCCACAGACTTCCCATGGAACCTTGGTCAAGTCACTTGCACAGTCTGTGCCCCGATCCCATGTCTTTTCAATCACTATTATAGTATGTACCTGCTTCACAGGGCTGGGGAATGATGAATACATTCAATAGGGGAGCTGCCCAGTTCCATATAGACAAACACCACTCACAAAGGGTGAGAAAAGTCAAGCAAGAATGACATGGGCTGTCATAAAAGAGAAGCCGTAATGAAAGGGATAGAGACTTCAGAAACAAAGAGGAGGCGAGCTGGAGTGAAGATAAGGAAACAGGACAGACTAACACAGAAGTTCTGGGATGCATCCGAAGGTATCCCAGGGGTAGGGACAGGGACAGAGACATTCCCAGAGGGAAAAAGGGATGGGAAGGCAGAAAGAAGCCAAGGGTTAGCCGTTCAGTCAGAAAGCCAACACATCAGATCAAGGAATCGCTGTCTTTGTTTCAGCTGGAACCTCAAACAGCTCCCGATCGAAGTGAGGTTTAAGATCTGGGGCCTCGCGTTTGCGAATTCCAAACTCCGTTACTGCATAAATGTTCCTGGTTACCTAGAAAGTGAGTTTAACTAAGAAAGCAGCAGAGGATGGACACCAGGTCAAAAGCGAAGTGGCTAGCAGTTACTATACAATAGATCAGCCTAATTAATTTGCAGTCATTTATGGTATAAACCGCACTCGCAGCTCTTGCTAAAACAGCTCATTTTGATTTCACTGGGATTATTCCCGGTTTCATTGATTTATACTTTACCCCCAGCTGGCTGAAAGAATGTAATTTGGCCTCCGGGATTTTCTCTGTTGCTTCTCACTGCAGAGATTCAGAAGAAAACCTCCCCTCCCCTTCGTCCCCCCATAATTGGGCTAGTTCTTCTGTCCCAGCCCAGCGAGGTGTGCTCTGCGGGAGGTGGGATTTCTTTTCCAAGCCCCAGCATGGGGACAGCTAAGGGGTTGCAAAAGAAGATGCTAAAGGACACATGAAGGTCATTTAGCCATGGAAGAATGTACACAAAGGGCCAGAGGTATTTTCTACTGGCCACAGCCGGGTTCAGGAAGCTGCTGGAGCGGATTGCCTGGTCTAAAAAAAATACAGGAAACGTCAAGAGCCCATATTGGTGGTACAGGACGAATTGCCCCCCTGGAGCAAAGTCGGCCTAGATTTATTTACTATGCTGGCTGACTGGCGGAGAGGGGGGGAGGAGTGTTGCACTCCTCCCAGACAATTAATGTCCCTTCCCTGAGACAGCCTCACTAGAAGAGACTCCGGTGACAGGTAACCGCTCGTCTCCGTTCTCGTCAGTCCAACGGGTCGGTTGAAAATTGCCTCAGGACAATACAAGCGTCTACTGAAAGCGGCTGCCGCGCCAGGCTGATCCCCAGCGAGCCGGGCTGTCTCCCCGGCAGGCCCCCGGAAAGGTCGGAGGGTCGCCTGCCGAGGTCCTGTTCAGCGGAACGCTGGCACCCGGAGAGCAGGCGCCGCTCGGAGCCGGGGCCAAGCATCCCAGGGCCAGACAAGGCAAACCACAAATCTGCGTGTGGGGACGATGGTGCTAACCAGCGGAGGGGGTCACACCTGGCCCCCAGGTCGCCCCCTCCCCAGTCAGATACATCCTCCGGGGGGATGGGCCGCAGCATCTCCGGAGGGATACAGGCCCTACCCCACCTCACAGGCGGAGGGAATACAGGCTCTTCCCGCACTCCCGCAGGCGGAGGGATACAGACTCTCCCCCACCTCACAGGCGGAGGGATACAGGCTCTTCCCGCACTCCCGCAGGCGGAGGGATACCGAGCACCACAGTGGGGAAAACAATACAGCTCCCTCCCCTCCCCCACGCATGATGGGATATAGGGCCTCCCGTGGGCAGAGAGCAGCCAGCCCCCCCAGGACAGCTGCCACGATCCGGGCCCAGCACTGGGCTGAGTGATGTGGTGGTTCAGAGTCACACTTGACAGGGCGTGGGGGCGAGTCTGATGGGGCCCGTGTGCTGCCAGGACAGCCGTGTCTGCGCTGCCAGCAACATGCCCCCTGCCGTGAGGCCTTGGAGTTTTACAAACCTGTCCCTGTTTCACAGAGGGGGAAACTGAGGCACCAAGAGGTGCAGCGACCAACCCAAGGTCACCCAGGGAGTCGGTGGCAGGGCTGGGAATGGAACTAGGAGTCCTGGTCCCCAGGCAATCCCGGTGCACAGCTGCTCCTGCCAGGGGCTGCGTTGTACTGGGCGGAGGGGAGCCCCTGAGGCCTCCCTGGCTTCCTCCAGAGAGGGGTCAGGGATGGGAGCTCCCTCCCCAGCGACCCCCTTGGCGCCCGCTCCCCCGGCCTGGCGTCACTTACCCAGCCCGGAGATGGGCAGCAGGGACAGCCCGAGCAGGAACCAGCAGCTGGCATCACCCATCACATTTACCATCCTTGACCTGCGGGGAAAGAGAGAGTTTTCGGAAGACAAATTCTCCCCTCCTGGGGCCCCGGGGCACCCGGCCTCCTGGACGCGGCCCGGCCCCGAAGTGGCCTGCAGGGCCAGATCGTCTGCACATAGGGAGATGACTTAATCCGGCACGGAGTTCGCCCGCCTCTGGGTGGGAAGACGCCTCTGGAGCCGGGTGTGGGGAGAGGTGGCTGGACCGGGGCTGGACGGGGCTGTGAGAGCAGCCCAGGGGGAGGGTCGGCCAGGAGGAGGGGTGGGGCTAGGGAGCCGCCTGCCAATGGAGCGCGTGGGTGCTACCCTCCATCCGTGCTGCTCTAGAACCACTAACGGGCTAAAACCCGGGTGCTGTGGATATTTCGTGTTCGCCCTGCAGCCCCACCGGTAGGCGCCCATGAAAAGAGCAGGGTGGGGCAGGTGCAGGAGTGGTGGGCTCAAATCCCAGCTCGAGGAGGGGTGGGGCTAGGGAGCCGCCTGCCAATGGAGCGCGTGGGTGCTACCCTCCATCCGTGCTGCTCTAGAACCACTAACGGGCTAAAACCCGGGTGCTGTGGATATTTCGTGTTCGCCCTGCAGCCCCACCGGTAGGCGCCCATGAAAAGAGCAGGGTGGGGCAGGTGCAGGAGTGGTGGGCTCAAATCCCAGCTCTGCTACAGCCTCCCCAGGTGACCTTGGGCCTGTCCCTGCATCCTGGTCAAGGGGATCACGGGCCTGTACCTCGAACCACTAACGGGCTAAAACCCGGGTGCTGTGGATATTTCGTGTTCGCCCTGCAGCCCCACCGGTAGGCGCCCATGAAAAGAGCAGGGTGGGGCAGGTGCAGGAGTGGTGGGCTCAAATCCCAGCTCTGCTACAGCCTCCCCAGGTGACCTTGGGCCTGTCCCTGCATCCTGGTCAAGGGGATCACGGGCCTGTACCTCTGTGGGGCAGGGCTGTCTCACAGCGTCTGTGCCATGCCCAGCACAGCAAGAGTCTCTGTCCTGCTGGGTTCCCTCGTGTGGCTGAGGGGGTGATCCTGGGGCTTTGTGATGCCTAATCGGCCTTATGGACTCACCAGGGCCAGATCCTGGTGTCCCGCCCTGTGCAGAGCAATGTAATCCGTGCACTTGTGCGGCTGCCCAGCCAATTAGCAGAGCACCCACAGCGAGGGTTTAGTGTTTCTACAGGTGTGGTGCACATCCACCCATGCCTTGGGCGCACAAAAAATTATTCCGCACACAGAACAAATTAAAGGGAACCTTGCCTGGCAGGCTCCCTCACTGAGCTCCTTGCTGGAGTGAGTGTGCATTGCTACAGCATGCCAGCTCCCAACACATACATAGCCCCATGGCTGGATACCGGGGGCAGGGGGGGGGTGCTATAGGGTCCCCGCCCCCCAGCCAGTGCACACTGGAGCGCCCGTGCCCGAGCATTACCATTCAGCACTGGACTCCTGCTGGGGCCGCGCGTGCTTCACAAAGACGGCAACGCCACTTGCTTAAAATCTCCCATTAATCTGTTTTACTGCAGCGCCAATTATTATTTTCTAAATCATTTGCTCTCCAATCTAGGAGAGGAAGCTCAGACAAATCATTCTCCCATCACAGCATGCGGGGACGCAGCTGCCGCCTGCTTTGACAGCCTCCTTTGGCCTCGGCGCGCCTTGCTGCTCTTTGTTCCAGGTACAAAACGCCCAGGGGGCCCCCAGGGAGCCAGATTGCTGGGCAGAGACCCCGGACTTGTAACTGCCCCTTTCGGGGGCTCTTGCCCCTGGCACTGGTGCTGTCGGAGATGGGATGCTGGGTCTGGCGTTGCTCCTGGACACTCGTGTAAATCTACTTGCTCTGGATTTACACCCGTGTCGCCACAAGCAGGGTGTGGCCCTGACTCGGCATTTACATGGGGGTCACCGAGATCAGACCCCAGCTGGGGTTTCCTCCTTCTCTGGTGGTGCTTCCCCCTTTGCGGATCCTCCCTCCGGGTGGCTCTAGCCTTCAGTATTGGTTATGCGGATCTTCCAGCCCAAGAGTCGGCTCTGCCCATGGGAGGAACTGGCCTTTCTGCAGATCAACACTGTGGCCTGTGTAGCTGGAGAATCCCTCCAGGCAATGCCCCACGATTCACAACCATATCCCATCCCCCTACCGCAGCCTCCCTTGGTGCTAACTGGGGATGGGGGCAAAGCAAATTGTGCAGAGGGAGGGGGCGGTGGGTGCAGGTAGGGCTGGGGAAAGGGAAGCCTCCAGCCACACCCCTAACCCCGCCTCCTTTGCCCAGGCCCCGCCCCCAGCACCACAGAGTGGGAAGAGGGCATGCAGCCCCAGCCTCCCTGGCCCCAGAGCACAGCAGGTGCTCTGTGGGCAGAGTGTGGGCGGGGCCATGTCTGGCGGTTTGGGAAGGCAACACCTCCCCCTGCCTATGATACTCGCCATCCCTGGCAGAGGGGACAGGTGAGAGTCCCTCGGGGCCCTGGAGGTGAGCTGGGCACATGGTGCGCCGGAGCCGTCTTCGGTATTTAGGGTTTAACCGATAAAACACCCCGATCACCCGTGTTGCTCCATGTGCGGCCATCAGCCCTCCCCCGGCACAGCCCGTGCACCCAGGTGCTGGGCCTGCTACCTGGCCTGTAGTGAAGAGCTCGGCCACACAGCACGGCCGTGGGCAGAGGGTCCGTGCGTGCCAGGGGCTGGGCAGACCTGGCGGGCGCATGAGAGTTTCCTGCTGCCGTGGGGTCAGGTGTGAACACAAAGCGAGCCCCCAAAAGCCTCCATTGATGGCCAGCGGCACGGAACTCAACAATTGCTCAGACTCCCCCCCACCAAACACTAGCGCCTGCTTGTGAGCAGCCCTGGGGGAAGATTATTGCACGGCAGGACCAAGCACCGTCTAGATCAGAGGTGCGCAACCCAAGGGGGGTCGGCTGCTTTTCCTGGTTTCCCCTGGTGGGGGTGGGAAGAGTGGCAGGAAA